CAAAGAACCGGCTCACGGTATCCATCAATCATCGGCATTCGGCATCAATTGCGAAAGCTTGAATTACCGCGAAATTTTCGCTTCGCTTCGCTTTTCCCGACCTCGCGCTCCGTTTTGCGAAGCGAAGCGAAGCTTCGCTTCGCTTCGCAAAATGCGAAGCAATGCGAAGCTTCGCGGACCCCTAATTGTTTTATATTTTTCGCCCAAGTTTCGGGGCGAGATGTATTGTTTCTTGATCTTTTAGGATTTAAACTGAAAAAATCATTTGCTAGCCGATTTTCTTTATAGTCATACCTGCTTCTTGTAGGTGAAAAGGTCGGTGACATGTCTGACAAGGTAAAGGAGTAATTTACCAGCAACTTTGGTACTGCACCTTTAAAAAGTAAACACACACTTGATTAGGGATGAAAAACATGAAAAAATCTATGAAAATGAATTATACTTGGATTTAAATGTCATTGGACACACTGAGAATAATAGCTCGTAAAAACTATCCAACTCTTCATTTATTTGGAAGAAAATAATAATGTGAGATGTTTTTGTGAATACGTTTAAAAATTAGCTGTTGTAAAAAGTTAAAAGCATGGAATGTCGAGTCATCAACACATGGGCCTTGTCTACATGACCACAGTTTGCGGAACTTCGGGCGAACTTGTTTCTGGAAAATATCATAGCTCAGCTCTAACTTCTTCTGCGAAATCTTAGTTAGTTGAACTAATCCGCCCTAAGTTCCATGAACTGCGCTCGTATGGACAAAGTCTTGGAAGAAACGGAGTTTGCTCAAACTTGTGCAAAGGGTCTGGAGGTTTACAAAAATCACTTCATAGTGACAATATATGAAAATATTTTCTTTGGACATGATTTTTTTTTTTTCACCCTGATCACCCAAATGAGGAGTGGAAATTCAAAATACATATGATGAACGCCATCAGATGTTCCTAAAATTATAAATGGTGTTTCTCATCTTGAAAGAATCAAAATGCCCTTGCTTTGTGAAATTTTTAACTAGAAGTATTCTCTAAATTTTGGTCTTCATCAGGTATTAGAAAATAATTTTCATTAGCAATAAGATTCCCGTTAAATGAGAGGTACAATTTCACAATCCTAGCAGCACCAGATGACACCTATTATGTTCAGAATTTCCACTCAAATGGGAAGGTGCTACATACAATGCGCAACTGATAATTCGAAACTGAAGGGACCGAGGAAATTTTGAGGAGGATTTTTTGGAATGAATGAGATTTTACATCAGCAAGATTTCAAATCATAGAAAGCAGTTTCAAAGAAAATTCAAAATGGATTTTTAAATTAGCTCTATGATTTGAAGTAGGGAAACTCAATCGCTCTAAAATTCAAAATTGCTTTTTTCATACATGAAAATTGAAGGCATTAAACCCCCTTTGAATTAGGTATAGAGCATCTGCTTCCACCAATTAGAAATGCAGGCCATGTGATCCTGATTTCAAATCTCAGAGTTTAATTTAAAGTTGAACTTCTTTTTATCGGGATGCATTTTATCTGTTGATTTTACCTTTTTCCCGATCACTGCTTGTCTTCAGATTTTAGGCGATGTGGCCAAGTAATTTTGTGGGGCATTGTGATTTTTAGGCCAAGTGGCCTGAAGATGATGTGTACTTGACATCGAAATAGCTATCGCCAAAAATCTGAAGACAAGCAGTGATCGGGAAAAAGGTAAAATCAACAGATAAATCACAGAGTATTTATAGAGTGCTATGTTGGCACGATTTCCGATTGCAGAACAGATGTACCTTCTGATTGGGGTGCAAAAATTTGGATTTAATACAGGGGACACGAACACATGGGTTATCCTGGAATTGACACTGTACTGTTCATGTGTTGAATTGCGAATGGATAAGTTTGCTTCGAATATTCTGAGGTAATCCATCTTTGACACCACTGGACTGCATTATGCAAAAACGAACTAATTTTTCTAGCACATTGATGAAACCATTTAGCTGCTTCACAAAAGCAAAAGCAGACACGAATGATAAAGTTCTAAGAAACGTATCACAATTGCACCTTATTAAAATCTCTGCAGCTGCTTTATTCCTTTTAAGAAAAAAACATTGATGTTTTCGTTATAAATTTTTCACATAATAAAAGATGGTTCCTTTTTTGCATGATGCAGAACAATCTGACGAGTGACAAGTTTTCAGTAATTATCAATTGTCAATTTGAAATAGGCAGAGCACTTCTCAAAGTTCAATAGAAACTGTCTTACCATTGCCTGATGAGCCGCTCAGGAGAGATTCAGGCTGAACATTTACCGAGGGATCGAGCAAAGGGCTTGAAAAGTTGAAAACTTGAGGTGAGCCTGAATAATGAAAAAAAAAAAAATTTACATTGATGATGAGCGTTCTCAGCTGATCTGAAAGACAACAAATCGATGGTGAAAGTTTAAAATCCTGAACTTGAATGGGGAGGGTGTTTTAAAATTTCTGCTGTAACTTCATTCTTTGGACAAAATAAGTAATATTTTTGCATGACATTACTGAGAAGTATTCCTACCAAAAGAGGGGAAAATGGTGACAATTTCACTGACCACTTAATGTTTAATTGCTAATATTACATGTGGCAAGAAGTTTCCCCAGTCACAAACTGTGATTAATATACAGGTCTTGAAGTTTATACACTTAAATCATTTTGAAAAACATTTTGCAAGGAAAAAGATAATCCACATTCTACGACAAATTTGACATTGCTTAAGTACGCATATTATTTTAAGATATTTTTCATTGCAGCTTTAAAATCAAAGCTTAAAAAATCAGCTTTAAAAGCATTCACAGGAAAAGAAAGAGTGAAAAATGAAATTCTCAACAGTTCTGTGAGCGTTTTCTGGCAGAGTTAGCTGATTAGTGATCAAGGTGAGCTTCTCCTTCTTCAGGAGTTCACACATACACAGCATTCATTTAGATTCCTGTAATTTTTTATAAACTGTCAAATTGGCAGCAACGGATTTTAATGGATAAAATGACAGCCAGCTAAAGAGAACCAAAATTCTTGCAACAATAGGAGCTTGAGACGCCACTTGCCACACTGACTTGCAGGCAGAATTTTGTCCATAAGTGCCACCCAGCAAGAATATCTCCTTTTAAAAACACGAGTTGAAGTGTTATAACCTGCACTTCTCGGTCATAATTTTCTAGAGATCAACACATAAGAAATTAAGTTTAAAGTCTATTATGCTCGGTAGGTAGTGAAAAACATTAAATAAAAGTTTGGAAGGGTCTGTTCACTTTTGCAGTTTGTATTATCATTTCACGCCATAATTTTGATTAAGGTGGATAAAAAACCCGGTAATAGTCAGCTTCAGACCTACTCTTACTGCCTATTTGTTTAAAAAAAAAAAGAAACAAAATTTAAGTAAAAAAAACCCAAAAAACCAATCATTATTTTTCTGAGGTTCAGAGACAAATTGTTCTTAAAAATTCATAAGGCAAACACAATAATTCGCTACAGAAGCATACTCACATTGCTGAGGGCTTTCTTCTGGTGACAAGGGAGGTAACGTAAAATTGGGATCATCTCGTTCATCACAATCTTCATGAGTTGACCCTAAAAATAAAAAAAGAAAGCATTACAAAATATGTACGTAAATAATGTTGGGGAAAATTGATGTAAAGGTGTAAAACCCTGCAAAATAATCTACTCTTATATCTTCGTTTTTACACTAAAAAAGGGGTTACTTAATAGTTTTCTTTAAAATTATTGAAAACAACGTATCCTTCTTGGGGCAGAGGCTTACTTAGCCCCAAAAACTTGTATCTTCATTTTTGAAAGATTCACATATTAACTGTTTTCAA